TATATATATATATATATATATATATATATATATGTAAAATACATACGAATAAGTAGTTGAGACCCGGTGTAAAACTGTTCGATCCTAGACAGGTAGGGGGTTCGTTCGACCGGTCTATGGAGAACGATCGTGAAACAGGAAACTGATAGAGAGAGAGCTTGTTATGCTTCGATCTATAAGAGAAGCGGAGCGCGTGATACATATAGTACCGCTCGCGGAAGGAGCGCGGATCGCGATAAATCCAACTAGCCAGTTAGCGAAAAAATAACGCACCATCGCTGCTCCCAGTCCATTCGAGGTTGACTGAATGTCCCAGTGTTATTTACGGACCAGCGGTTTCTTCTATTTGCAATGGGCTGATAACACGCGCCGTCACGATGACTCTGCTCTCTCTTTGACTCGCTAATCTCAAAGCTGTTACACGGATCGAAGAGAAAATGCCTAAATACCCGTCCCCCACTGCCATACAATACACGCCGAGTACAAGCTCGTTCGCTTGTGTACGCAATCTGTTGTCATCGCGATTCTCTCGCGATTGTGACGAAATAAACGCGTAAACTTGCCGTGCTCGTTGTTACCAGAATCTCTCGAGAAAAACCCATTATCTTCGGTAAATTTCATTTATATTATCTCGACGTGACTTGCGCGACATTACGAACAAATACCGCCAGGTTGTTTGCGAAGAAACCGTGTGATTCATTTCGTTTTGTTTGGTTTCTCGCGAGCACCAAGTTATTCGATGATCCTTCGTTAAATATTAACGCGATGGATATGTACTATCGATTGTTATTATCGTGGGTGTGTTAGTATACCAACAACGCAGTGGCCACGAGAACCAATTGATTGTAAAAAAAAAAAAAGCTATTGCGTTCTCCATAATTAAGAACGTTTCTGGAAAAAGGATCTGGAAGATAAATTGTCTTCGAGCGACTGTCACATGTCTCAGGAATGTTCCCCTAAAACTTCGTCTCGATATTCCACATGATTAACAAATCAAACATAGAAGTACGTTGAAGGAACTAAAATTAAAACTTCTGACGTGATCCATTCGATTCGTTGCTTCAGCTAATAGGTCCTCCTTTCAGACACGTCCTCGATTTATTTATTGAAATCTTAATCTCCATCCACGATAGTTATTTGAAGCAGAAAACGTAACGATAAAAGTGACCAATTGTTCGTTAGTTCGTGAAAATTTTTCGCCAATCGTAACGGAGTTGTGTTCTTGTGTTCGCCGCTCGTTAACAACACGACCAGCACCATCATTAAGTACCGGTGTCCGCGATTCTTCCAGGTACAAAGTACAGTATTTCGATAGAGAATACATCAAATAACGTTCATAACGTTTATCAACCGTGCAACACAAACCAAAAAGAAACGTTATGTAAATCGTTATTTTCTTCCCTGACACGCGTAGTAAGAGTAAGTTGAGAAAGTTGAATGCATATTATCTTATTAGCGCGACCTATATGTCGGTCAATTGAATATTTACGTTTAATAAATACGTCTCAAATAAATACGTTGAGCACTTATCTACATTCACGAATACTTCGGTGATAATACATGCATATTTATTAACGCTGTTACGGTTAATTAATCTAATCTCGAATCGAAATATCTAACATCGTCACTTTGATAACAAATTTTCTCGCTACGTTTACCATGCTCTTTTTCATTGATTTATTATAAACTTACGTTCTAAAACCAATAGAAACACGTAACAAATCGACTGCACTGATTAGTAACAAATCTTTTTTCGCATCGTGTTTATACATATGATACAAGTCAATTTTAGTATTGCTCTAGTTTATAGGTAAATCATATAATTGTAAATTTAAAAATTTGTTCATCCCTTTGCT